TTTAATATCATCTAAATATTATATTTTTATTGGATAGATCATGAATGATGTGAAACATTAAGTCTATCTAAGAATTTCTCATGTAGTATAACGTAAAAAACTATACGTATCTTAGTAATCCAAAAACTTAAATATTTGTGTTATGCAATTAATCTTGCACAAATATTAGTTCTTAAAAATCTTAAAATAAAAAAGTAGAGAAATCATAAACTATTTGTAGATGCTATGGTTATGGAGGATTTATTTTAAAATTAAAGTTTTTTATGTTGTAATTGTTCAATAATTATTGAATAGGAAATTAATCAATTCGTAAAAGAAAACAGAAAATTTTGAAAAAAATAAAAAATTAAATAGGAGAGGATGTATTCTTTAATAAAGTTTTTTCATGCATTGCAAATTAATCGTGTGGGGCAACAAAGCATTAAACTACTTTTCGGCGAATTTGTTTTTCTATAATTGAACTGAGAAATAATCAAATATACTTTTCTTAATTAAAAGAAAAAGGGTCCACATCACATATAATGAGTCCACATGTTCCATTTAAGAATAATAAAACTTTTAGTCACTCAAGTTTGTATCGATCATTGATTTGGTTTCATAAATTTCATTTTATCAGTTTAGTTCCTTATATTTTCTTAAATTATGATGTGAGTTCTTTAAAATTTAAAAGACAAACTAACTCTTAAATTAATAACATATATTAATGAGTTGGCATGTATAGGTAGCTAAACGAGAAAAAAAAAATAGTGCTCAAATAAGTTTAATTTTTATCAATCTAGTGATTTATGCAGCATTTTTTTCTTTTCTTTTTTAAATTTTGGTCCATTTTTTCTTACATAAATAATTATACTTTTTTTATTAATTTACATGGTTGTTTTCAATATTCTGTTATCTATGTCAATGTTATCTCCTCTTTAAATAAATGAAAACTAAATCAATAATTGAGGCAAACTTAACCAAATCAATACAAATTAAACTTAAAAAAATAAAATTAATCATTGAAGCAAATTTAAAGCGCTAAAAATTTCATTATCCTTATTATATATATACATCTCTGTGGGTGTATGTATGTATGTATTTTGCAACATCTTATAATTTCAAACTAAATAATTGTTCAAAAATTATAATAAGAAAAACTTTAATTTGAATAGTTTTATTAACTTTGTCCAGAATTGAACGTGTGGAACTATTCCTCCTGAAACCTTAATGAAGCAAAGTGAAACAATCTAATTATTTGTCTAACTATTGAAAACATCTCATATTCTGGTTCGTTAGTTTTAGCATACATATTTAAATATTTTTTGTTCATATATAATGAATAAGAAAAATACAACTCCAAACTTGTCTGTATTTTAATGTTATTTTAATATAAAACTTACTTTATCATACAAAAAATATCAAATATTATGAAATCTAGCATGTTTAAGAATAAGTCTAAAACTTATGATGATTATATCAAAAATAATTTTTAAGTAAATACTCGTTTCAACCACAGAAGATTTAATGAATTTGCAAGATTAAAAAATTTGAAAAGATTAAAAAAAAAGTTAAAACAGATAAAGAATGTCTTCTTAAATAAGAGGAGAAAAAATATAAAATTAAACTTATTAGGAGACGCATAAAATTTTAGAACAAAAGTAATGGAATTTTGGATTTACTCCATTTCAATATGCATGAATGAACAAGAAATTATGAATGAAATGACGATAAACAAAATTCTATTTTAGATTTACTCCATTCAAAAAAGAGATTAACAAAATGGAAACATAAATATAAGCACATTATACATACCTGTAAATGAGTTATCACCCAAATACAATTCCTTTAAAGATGTGCAATTACTTATTGATTTTAGAATACTTCCCTCCAATTGATTACCATCAACATCGGGGATTTCAAGTAAAGGGAGTTTATGGCACAATTCTTTTGGTAAATTCTCAACCTCTCTCAAAGAAGACATGTTCCAAATAAATGAAGGAATTTCACCTAACTAAAGTACAAAATGTTTGCTTGTTGTTAGTGCGACTAGCAATTCCCCAAATTCTCGTACAGAGATATAAATAATATATGAAAATTTGATAATTAGAGGTTTAACATTAATAGAAAAATATAAAATAACCTTTTCTGGCAACTCTCTCACATAAAAATTAAATCGATTTTTGTGAGATCCATGTAAACGGATAGCATTAAATGTATCAAGTATACTATAATTTTTAACTCTTAAAGTGGTTTCAGTTAAAAACTTTTCTAATATAGAATGAGCATAATAATAAATGAAAAGTTTGTTAAAGAATAAAGTAAGGGATAGGTAGATTGAGCATACCTGTAAAGGAGTTGTACTGTAGATATAATTTTTCCAGCACCGTCTCATTGTCAGCTAGTACTGGAAGATTACCATCCAAATTGTTTTTTACTAAAGACACAGTTCTTAGAGTAGAAATGCTAAAGAGAGATGATGGAATTTTACCTGTATCAATTTAAAAGTGAACAACTAAAATTACATTAAAGCAAGATATAATAGTTACAAGTCTCTGATTAATCATTTAATACTAAATTGATCTTGGAGAGAATAAAAACAATATAATGATAGAATAGAACAACAAAGGTATATGAAATTGTATTAATTGATGGTCATATTTTGGGTGTCAAAAAATTAATCTAACAGTGATAAATAGAATAAACACGTGCACACATACATGAATATTTCCACCAGGCCTTTCCCCAATTAGATTCTTTCTATTAACAAGGTTTGCACCCAAAAAAAAAAAACACATTGAAAATGTCTTTATTATTCATTCTAATATATTGATTGTCACATTGGGCCTGTGATAATTGGGCTTGGGATACGTGAGCTTGCATTGAAGTGGTTTGGCCACAAGATTTACCTTTAAACAATTTAAGCCTTCTTTTTTTGTTTTTTTTTTAGGATTAAGGTTCATTTTTACATCTGAACTTTTTCTTGAGGAGCAATTTTATCCCTGTACTGATAAGTGAGGCAATTTTACTCTTAAACTATTTTTTGAGAAACACCAAGCATTCTGTTGTAGGGGTTTTTTGTTCCTCAAAAAATAATTTAAAGGTAAAATTGCCCCACTTATCAGTGCAAGGGTAAAACTTCTCCTCTAGAAAAAGTTCACAGGTGAAATTGTACCTTAACCCTTTTTTACAGCAATTATTGATATGAGATTAGCAATAATTAGTAATGTCAATCTTGTTATGATATAATTGGAATTATATTTATTAAATTTATATTATTTCTCACATCAAGCAATATATGTAAATAATAGTATCACCATTTTATTTTATTTTACCATGTATATGAGATTTTTTTTGTTTTTTAAATTAAATATTTTTTATTGATACAAAATAAATATTTTTCTAGCAATACAAGTGACAAAGTACATACATATTTAAAATGCGTTTAACAACATGAAATGTGGTAGCAATTTTAAAAGCCGAAACAAGAAAAGCTAGTTCTAATATATTAGCAAAAGCTTGTATATTAGAAGCAAAAAGTCAAAACCCATCAATGTATGTAGGCATATCATGGATATAATTAAAGTTGATGTCTTCCAAGTTGTTTTCTATATGTGTAAAAAAAAAAACAAAACACAAGAAAACTTGCCTTCAAAAAGAAAATGCAGGGAAAATGAAAAATAAAAGGTAAGAGAGAAGCATCAAAAATCCAAGCAGTCCTTTCTATTGTCCCTATCCAATTATATCAGTATAGTGAAAACAAATATTGTAGATAGTACAAATCGTCAAAATTAAACATTCCTAAAAACTTATGGGTGCCATAAAAACAATAAAGAAATGATACATAATAATAGAATTAAACATGGAAGCTTTATGAAATCTATTAATTGACAGCATGAAATCTTCTAAGAGTTCAAAGAATATAAAGTAACTATGGTAGAGAGAGAGAAAATAAACATATTATATTTTCATGAGAATTGGATGTATCACCAAAATTACTTTGCCACAATACTCTTCCTATGTAGGAAGTCTCACGAGATAATATATACACAAGACATTCATATTTTTTATAATGACGTTTTAAGAATTACTTTGAGACATAATACTAAAATACTCTAAATGATAATATCAAAGTACAATTAGTTTAAAAAAGCCACGACCCATAATTGGAAAGATGAATAATCATAGAATATACTATTGTCAGTTTATTGTCACGTATTTCGTGTACGCGCATGCACGATATTCAATGAAGTGCAGATGTGTAGTTACTTGTAATGCACCAACCTTATGCGACCAACAAACAAATGCACATCATACACCCGCAAGCATCACAAACATGAAACACATTTTGAAATTATTTTAATTTGAAAGATTAAAACAAACAAACAAAATATCAAACATCGTTTAAAACAATCATATAATTTAAACTCTTACCTTGCAAATTGCTATCGGCAAGATATAAGAATTGGAGGTTTGTCAAATTTCCAATATCAGTTGGAATGATCCCTCGATTGAATATGTTATTACTCAGTTCTAAATCTGTCAATTCCTTGCATTGATGCCAAATAGAGGGTATCTCTCCAGACAAATCATTATCATAGACATAGAATTTTACAAGTTTTGGAAGCCCAAAACACAGGTTTGTTGGAAGACTACCAGATAAATTATTCATATTAAGTTCAATGTATTGTCGAACTGAATTATTAAATAGAGAGGTTGGTATAGAGCTTGAAAGTTGATTATTTCCAAGATATATTATTCGTAGTTGCAGAAGATCACCAATCTCATTTGGAATGCCTCCTTCAAATGTCAAAATATCAATAATATGTCAATACATATCTAAAGTATATGGAAGAATTTTCTAAAGTATGCATTTTTTTACTCATGTTTGCAGTGTTTTTTTTTTTTTTTACATCATGAGGATCGTCCAAACTAAAAATGAATGTCATGCAGCAGAAGCTTCATTTACTTATTTTGTAAACAACCCTTAATATGTTTTAAAGGACAGAACAGATATCCATTTTCAAGGACCGATGGCCGTTTAGATCCGTTATCAGGATTAATATATTCTTTATTCCTATGCTAGCTCTTATATGAATGCACTGTAAAAAAGGAACAAATATCCCATTGCTTCAATTGCATGCAGATTCGTGATCTATTGAAAAAGTACAATTGATAATTTTTTTAAAAAAAGGAAAACTGATAAAAACGTGCATAAAAATACCAATAAATGAAGAATATATAATAGTCGAGGCAAATTAACAAAGATCCTTCCATGTGATCCTTGAGGGAATATATCATGCTAACCAAATAGATTAATTTAGAGCAAAACCAAATATAGGTATAAAAAATGATCCAAAACATACCTGAAAAAGTGTTATAAGAAAAATGTAATATCTCAAGTGAAGATAAGTTGGAAATTGTTCGAGGAATGATTCCTGAAAGTTTGTTTCTTGAAAGTCGTAAAATTTTCAAGCGCTCAAGTCTTCCTACCTCAACAGGGATGCTTCCCTCAATTAAATTAGAATTCCAATCTAATGTCTCTAACCTTGATAGATTGAATAGAGATAGTGGAATAAAGCCATCAAAGCTATTATTTCGAAGATTTAAGTACTCTAGTGTAGATAAATCTCCTATCCATGCCGGAACTTCTCCATGAAATCCATTATAGCTCAAGTTCAATAGTTTCAATCTATGCAATTGAACTAACTCTCTTGGTATTTGGCCATAAAAATTGTTGCTACTAAGATCGAGTTCAACAAGAAATGAGAGGTTTCCCACTTGTGGGGATATGGTGCCTTTAAGATCCATGCCACCAAGATTCAAGGAATGGACCCTTCCATGGCGAGTATTGCAAGTGACACCAACCCAATTGCATGGAGAAGAAGAGATACACCAAGTAGATAAGAAATCGTATGGATCTGCAGTGATACAAGATTTAAGGCCAAGAAGTGCAGATTTGTCGGTAGTAATGTTTGAATCAATCCAAGCTAAGGAGTATATGAAGAAATGGATTGAGAATATGAAGAAAAGAAAGGAAGGAGATTTTCCCATGTTAGCCATATTGGACTTTTTAAAATTGCAAGTTGCGTATCTAGGAAATCACGCATCATTTTATACTTACCAAACTCCAAATCAAGTCAAGTTGTGCAAACACAATGACAAATAACAAATTCAAAGGACAACTCTCATGATAAGATTACAAAATTAAAGAAAAATATTAATTATAATTAGCGTGTTTGGTAAATTATATCTGTTTTTTTTTTTATAGTTGAAGATATTATTTTAACCTTTTAACATAGATATCAGATCTAACTTGAGTAATTGGTGCTTCTATATTAAAAATTTCCGGAGTCTTCAAGCATTGAATATTTTAATCTTCTTATCTCTGACATTTATATTATATATTGACTTGTGTCTGTTTCAAATTAATTTTAATTCTCCACTTATCTTGTAAATATAGCTTATATATGTTAATGCGTACATGCAATAAAATACATAAAATTGTATATAAAGGTTGTTTGCAAAGAACACATACCCTGTAGGACTGAGTTTGAATTTTTCTTCAAATATGAAAATTATTTTAGTGATTTTTCTTTAAATAGTTTTGAGAATACTCTTTGAGTTGTGAGATATAGTTTGGTCATAGTGAGACATCAGCACAACATTTATTGGGAGTATGATATGCACATGGGAGTAAGTTTGTGAAAAAATTTCTTGTCGGTAAACTAAAAACCATTACAAAACTTGCAATGTTTTATTTTTTGTTGAAGCAGTATGTTTTTAGTTACATTATTTGTATTTGAAAACCAAATGAATGCATATTAAGAATGAAATATAGAGAAAATAGATAATAGATAAATCAATTATAAGAAACACAAATGTTTTAATATTTGTCAATAATTACTTAACCTTACGTTAGCACTTTTGGTTCAACCCAACAGGACTCCATAATTTGTTAAGAAAGGTGGGGGAGATCTGATGCTTATGAGTGCAGAGATTTTTATATTTAATATAATCCAAAAGAAGCAAAAGAATAATATAAATTAAAATACATTGTAGATTGTGTTTAATAATATACTTTAAATTAAATTATAAAAATTAGAATTCCATCACGTACTATTTCTACATGGATGAGTGATGAAGTGCACGGCATGCTTGACTTGTGAGCTGAGTGAATATAGGAATAATTATTACATAAAAATAATCCCAAAACAAATGTTAGTTATAATTGCACTTACTACAAGTTTGCAGGCCATATATAGAGGGTACACAGAAGAACATTAATAGTGGGAAGACTTGTGAGAAGGCATATATATCTATCATTCATTTGTAGGTATACCGTAAGTGCCGCGCTTGACTTGTGAGTGGCAGGCATCAAAGTCACTCTCCATTTCCATGCAAATGGAACAACATAAAATGGCAAAGTCAAAACAAAATTCTAGATAAGTATTTTTCTGGAGTAGCTGTAGGTATATTCGTTTATTATAAACTATATATCCAATAATACCATATACAACAAAGACATGCAATTAATTAAGAGTTTAACAACAACAAAAAAATAATTTTTTTGAGTAGCTGTAGGCCAGGTATATTCATGAATTACTCCCCAATTCAATTATGAAACCAAATCACCTCTTAATTAGTGACTATAAATAATTTACTAACTGGTAAAAATACAAATAAAAATTCAATTTTTGTCATCATTCCCATCAATTTCAATGTAATGAATGACCTTAAACCATCAAACTTATGAAGTTATAAATAACGATTATCAAACCAAAATAGATATTTTAAAAGAAAAAAAGTAAAACTAAACAAAGATCAGATTTGATGGCCAAAGCTCACTTGGTTAACATTTCTTGTTGAATAATGAAAGGAGTGTTTTTAATTTTCTTATTTCTATTCCTATCGAAAGTACCCCATCCAACAAAAACAGAAGAATTAATCAAATGATCAGTTAAGAGAGATTATTAAGTTTTTATTTTCTTATTTTCTTATTTCTATTCAGCAAACATCAAGCATGTTTTCCCCAAGTGTATAACTATATTTTATTATGATTAATAAATATTTTTCATTTTATGAATATATAAATGCCAAAATTATATACGTGGCTAATGATTATCCGCCAAAAAAAATAGGAAGTGGTTTTTTTTAATTTTTATGACATTTTCAAAATTTAATTTAAATATCAGATACCATTTTTTTGTTTTTTTTGCAATTATGAAAATACCCGAAGTCTTGAAACGTATAGGGATTCTCTTTCTAGCTATTTTATTTTTATTGATGGTTAGGTAATTACTTGAAACTTAGTTTCCTAGATGAGTGGACTTGATGTCACAACTCCAAGGCTTGATATTTTCTAAATCATTGGAAGCGAAGGTTCAAGTCACGCTTGACTTGTTATTATGAATTAAGGAAAAGACACAAATTAATATATTTTCTTCTTTAGAGGACAAAAAATAATTATTAAAGATTAAAATTTAATTTGTCCCTTCAAAGAAGTTGATGCAATGGAAGAGAAAGAAAATTGCATGTTGTATAATTTCTTCCATTATCACATTGATAGAGGACCGCATTTTATTTTGGCTTCATTATTTTATTTGTGGTCAATTTGTCCCAGCGTGCTGTATAATTTCACTTTCAAGACCACATTTTCATTGTCTTATTCATTTATATAGCCAGGTTGGGCAGCCATTGAAAAAAAGTTTGTGTAGATACATTGTCCCTTCAATTATGAATTTCTTTTTTAATCATTGGGTGAGACAATCATTCATTTCTTCATTACTTGGCATTAAAAATTTTATAGATATAGAGATTCTACTATTTATAAAATGCTTGTTTATAATTTTCATGAAACTTAAACTGATGAAAGAAATTTGTGTGTGTTTTCTCTCATTCTCATTACATGTGGCTAATTTAATTAACAAAATGTATAAGTTTATAAGCATTAGCGATACTGACTATATAATTTAATACATATGAATTTATTGAAATCATCCTCATTTGACAGAAAATTTGCAAGCAAATAATAAAATGTTGGCATAAAAATAATTTAAAAATGTTAGCATTATCACATAAGGCATGCTTGACTTGTGAGTTGGGCAAAGATAGAAATAACTGTTGCATAAAATCGTTTTCATTTCAAGAATCATATTTTCATTATCCCATCATTGTATTGGTTAGTAGAGAAACCCAAAAGGTATGTTAGTGATAAGAAGCTTTGTCCTTTTATGAATAATATAAGTTTTTTTTCTTGGACCATATTTTCATTTTGGTTGTGTTATTTCATTTATGGTTAAGTTTGGTAGGCCATATATAGAGGGTTCCCCAAATGGTTGCTAATAGTGAAGGGAAGACTTGTGAGTAGCCATAAAAAATCTTTGATTGGTTATCAAAATTCTTCAGACTTGGAAATGCCGTGCTTGACTTGTAGTGAGTAGGCATCAAAGTCAGTCTCCATTTAACAAATAAAAATATTACTTAATTAATGTTAAAAATACAGCTTTCTATAAATTGTGTGTGTGTGTGAGAGAGAGAGAGAGAGAGAGAGAGAGAGAGAGAATGATATATCATATTGGTAGACTTTAGAAATTAAAGAAAAAAAAGGTATATGCAATATTAATAAAGATAAAAGCAAGTAAAGCATATCACAATTAAGGTGAAAACACTTAAAAGCTACATTATGTTATGCATAATCAGTCTTTTATTTAAATGTTTACCATAAGATTTGCAATACTTTAAAGAAAAAGTTTTTTAGAATTACACTGAAGGATAAGATCTTGTGAAAATTGAGGTTGGTTTAGTTTAATTTGAAAACTAAATACATAAATATACACACTGCCCATTGTTAGTTTGAATCTCCATTAGGAGAGGTGTTCAGACAGTGCCTCGAACATGTTGCCTTCAATAGGTAGATATCTATTGGTAACAAGAAAAAAGAAAAACTAAACACATAAATATACACATTACCCATTTGTTATTTTTATAGAGAAAAATCGATATTCCAATCAACAATTGAAATAGAAAAATACTAATTTACTTAAATTTCTTTTGAATTGATGATAGAAATCTAAATCCTCTGAATTTGGGATTGGTGAATTTCTATGATTTTTTCCTTTTTAAGAAAGAGAGAGAAAATTTAATATTTTATAAAAAATAATAAAATGAAAGAAAATACGAGGAAAAGAAAATTTCACAGAAATTCACCGTTCCCAAATTCCAAGAATTTAAATCCAAAAATTTAAAGTTAATTGCTTCTAATGAAGTTGAAGGTGTGAGATGAGACCTAATTATGTAAATTAAATAATAGGAACGATGCTAAATCAGTTTTTGATATACATATGCAAAAGCTTCTTAGAGTATCCAAAGTCTTCAAACGTACATGGAGTCCAAGTATGCATGATACAGTAAGAATATAATACACAAAAAAGGTAACAAAAAATACACAAAAGAGAGTAATTAATTAAAAAAAATCAGTCCAAAAAGACTCTTATAGTGCATTTTTATTAATGGAGATTTGGATTAGATCCAAACCCCTCATTTGGATATACAAAAAATTATGAATTTGGATTAATTCAAATCCAAATCCATTTCTTATTACAATTCCTTTGTAATTTCATATTCTTTCTACATCCTAGTCATTTGAAATTCTAGTCACTTCAAACATATCATTTTCTTTGAATTTTCACTATTGATACTTCTATGATTTTAGTATTTTTTCTATTATTTCATTCTCATCTCTCATTGATTAAAAATAGAAATAAACTCATCATTTATAATTTTATATTTTCTTTTTGAATCTCAACTCATTTAGTACATTATTGGGAGTTTGATGCGCACATAGAATTAAATTTGTGATAGATTTTGTTGATGATAGCCAAACCTCCTGAAGCAGTATGTGTCGGTCGCATTGAATATGTCTTTTGTTATGTGTTTGGGAAAAACAATTAGACAGCCACACACACACACACACATGAATATTGTATTATGCATTCTTTTTGTTATTTTTTAATGGCATAGCCTTAGAGTATCCAAAGTCTTCATTCCGTCATATAGGTACA